TTAAATTATATAAATCATTAAATTACAATAATCATCTCGAAATAGGAGATTATTCATTATAATTTTTATCATATTATCTCGACGAGGGAAATTTTATTTCTATATTTAAATTGTAATTATTGTTATTTCATCATTTAATTACGATAATTATCTGGAGATAGGGGATGATTATTTTCTAGAGTACAAAGTTCTTCGAAAAAAAAATTCTATTGACACATGCCAATCGATCTCACCCTGAAGTTAAGAAAATCCACCCCTAGGATTCAAAACTCGAGGACTTCGATTCAATCGATTGTAATTTACAGGATAATTCGATTCGAATCGTTCGAACAACTATCACCACTATCCCCCGCAATCAGCGATCGTTCCTCGATCATTAATTGCGGGGGGTGAGATTATCTTAATTAATCTTGCGAACTTAACTCTCGACTAAAAAATAAAAAAAAAGGGTAGAACGGAGGAAGAGCACTGGAGGTTGGAAATGGAGTTCAGAAGACATCAGTGACAATTTCCAGTCGATTGTCGAATCGAATTAATCCAGAAATAGTTGGAGTAATAGATTATTCGATGAAAAATAAAGTCGGTAATAAAATTGTCATCGAGTACTTCATAATGAAGAAACTAAGATATTTTAATGGAGAATATTCTGGGGTGTACGTACGATTAGGATTAATCAATTACAGAGTGAATCAGTCCGCATTTGGAGTCCACGTATAAATGACTCATCTCCACTGCTGACAGTCTGTCCAACAAATTCATATTGAATTATTCCAATGAGATTGACAATAGTGCATCACGGTTACTTGGACACTGGCCAAATTGATCCTGTTGCGGTTTATATCAGTACCATTCCGGTACGTATTGTATCTATATCTGTAGATATGCAGTTTGTCCGTCGAAACAGCTGTTGCCCGAACTTGTTGCACCCGAGATAAATCTGGGGAAGGAGATAGGCACTCCTTCACCCTGGAATTAAGCTTGCATGAGCGAAATAGTCTTGCCAAAGGGTGTATTGCACTGATAAAAATTCTCCATTCATTATAGAATATTATAGAAGTTGAACAGATATTTTTATTAATTTATTATTATTTATTGTGATTTTATTATGATTTTGGTATGAGGGGACAAGTGGATTTTTTTTTCTTTTTGTTGATATCTTGGAATTGAGGGGAGATGGCGATATTTTTGTAAAGACCTTTTTTGTAGGTCTCATTTTTTTCTAGAGAAAAGGTATTGGTGAAAATATTGATAGGTACTCTCGGTTTTGAGGTATTTGGGGGAGAGTGGAGTTGAAAAAAATACACTTGTTTGAAAATTGGGGGGATGATTTATCAGTAGGTATTGAGCGCAGGGGAATGAAGGGGTGAATTGTGGGTAATTAATTCAGTAGATGGGGAAAGTTTCTTACTTTTCGGATTGATTGCTACGCCATTTCTCGTTTTACTTCCGAGTGATTTGAGGAATTGAGGGATTGGGAAAATGTGTGGGGTTGAATTCCTGAGATACGTGTCATGGAAACTAATTTTTTCGGTGGAAATCCCGAGGGTCTTCAGAGTGGCTTAAGGCCAATTTTTTAAACAATTGTTTAAGCAACAGAAATTAATTGTTCATTAATTAACGACTTGTTCATTATCCCCCCACGTAATAGCGGGTCAATGCTCAAATATTAATTTATCGATAATTCAACTGTTTAATTAATTAACTATTAATTGATTTACTCATCATCATCAGAGTTCCCCTAATTTTCATTAAAACAATTAACTGACGAATGCTCTATAATTTTTTCGTCTCAACTCATAATTTTCGTCGTTAAAAAAAATTCCAGGCTTTCAGCAATTTTTTAATAAATGAAATGTTTAAATAAATTTAAATAAATTTGAATTGTTCGATACTTAACTCGATATGGGATTATGAATTATTAAATATTAGACTTAGATTTTTATAACTCAGACGGTCTTGATATATCAGGATGTGCAATCAGCCTCTCGACCATTTATTATTAAATATTAATTATTGCAGTAATTGTTGCATACGATTGCAAAATGTCGCATAAAGTCGAGAGGGCAACAGTCATTTCTGAGGGATATGAATTTTATCTCATCGCATTGATCCCAATCCATCACCTCAATTACCTCGTAATTATCCCTCATTAAAGAGGTAGACCAGTTTCGTTAACCCACATCAGGCGAATTATAGTGATAAAATTATGGTAGCCTGGCAAAATAGAAACATTAATCAACATACCGAGGCAAAGTGCTAGCCGATCATTGGTAAATGAAACGACATTTCCGTCTGGCTGATTTGAAAAGGGAATTCTGTCTTTCTGTTTTATTGGTGATGGACCGAGAGCCTTTTACCGAGTGCCTTTAGCGCTTTTGTACACTGATAAAAAAACAACTGTAGAATTGCAATAGTAGGTCAACAAATAGATTACAGAAGTAGCGATAGGATGATTGATTTGTAGATAAAGAAAATGTGACAGTCTCAAAGAATAGCGTGGGCTTATCAATTTTTATTTTGCATCATAATTCATTCGGACATTTAGGAAAATTTTAGTTTTGATAGAAAATTTTTTTAATATATAGAGATAAAAAAATAGAGGAACCAGGGAAGAATCAGGGAATCGGGTAGATTTTCCCTAGAATTTATCTGGTGTTTATATTTATATTCAGGATGGAGTGAAGAAAGAAAAAGTGAAAAAATGGAATAGTCCAAGTGGAAATACTGAATAAATAATTAAAACCGCATTGATAGAGGCATAAAAAGGCGGGATTTCAGGTGATCAATTGAATTTTCGATGAATACTTCATTCTCGTCTTCATTAAATTTTCTATGTACGTCTGAGGGCTATCGGTATTTGAATTCTACGCGCTAGTTGCAATCGCAACTTTCTGAAACACTAGAATTGGAAATGCCAGATGCTGGATGATGTAATTTATACGAAACATCTGTACAATATATTTGGATTGGTTTCTTTATGTTTCATTTGCACCCCATTCACATCAACCAAAGCTAGAGGCATTTTTTCCCCTGTTGATGTCTCTCGTTACATCCCCTTTTCTCATCTCAGACCCTTCGTGTCAAATTTACCGGAGTGACGAACATCATTAATTATTCCCTAATTGTTGCCTCCCGATGGGTTTTATTGTCAAGATGATTCGAATGCTTCATTCTACCGGAGGAATGAAAATCTGATAAGAATTTTTATGAATAGAAAGAACTGCATTTTTTTCGACACCAGTTTTTAGCCGATATCTCGGCATTCGAGGATTATACCGGATTTTTTGTGGAATCATTTTTTATAGGAAAAAGTGAGAGCTACAAAAAAGGTTTCAATGAAAATATCGCTATCTCCCTTCAATCTCGAGGAATCGGCGGAAAACTGATGGAGAAAAAAATCTGATGATGCGTTTGTCATGTGATGAATGGGAGAACAGTTTTTAGCCGATATCTCGGAAGTGGAGGAATTCACCGCATTTTTTGTAGATACATTTTTTAAAGGAAAAAATGAGAGCTATAAAAAAGGTCTCAGTGAAAATATCGATATCTCCCTTCAATTTCGAGGAATCCGGCAAAAACTGGTTGAGAAAAAAATTCAATTATCGTGGAGTATTATCTCCGATTTTTTTTATCGAGATGAGAAAGTGTTTGAGCTGAACTTTTGTCGTAAATGCTTTTCACATCTTGTATTAATCCCCCACCAGACTAAATCATTGCGGGTAGTTAAATTTGATTGTTCATATCACCCATTGAGTGGTTATTAAACGTGATATACCGCTTCCAATGATCGCGTTATTGAATTCCAGTGGATCATCAATAGTTATAGTTTCAGTTGAGAAAATATAGTAAAAAGACAACTCCAAGGATTTTCGGTCTAAATCTCCCGCTCGACAGTTTAATTTTCCATATTTCAAGGATTTGATAAGATAATTCAATTTAAATTCATAATTTTCCCTCAATTTTCAACACGTGACACTCCAAAACAATAAATTCTTTAATTCCAGTTAATCTCCAGTGAATTTAAATTAATCTCTGATACGTGGATGATTTTAGGAGATAAATTAATTAGGATTGATAATTTTTATTTGATTTTGTGGCGAGAGAAAATAGTTAGAGTTAATTTATCGTGGAAACTCGTGGTTATCTGGATAATTACATAATTGAGATGAGTAAATTTATAAATTTGCGTGTTACTACGCAGAGGTAAAAATTCTCCCATCTGTAATACTCTATTCATCAAGTAAAAGCTGTTTTATCAAGGGACTCTGTTTATGTACGAACACTGCTGGGACTAGCTTTATGGAATTTAATAGCTCTAGAAGCATAGGTGTACACTTAATCTACATTTGCTACTCTTAACATTCTTCTCACGTTCTAATTCGAGATATAATTCATTCAAAACAAATAAAGTGCATTAATCCCGAGGATTAATGCACTTTATTTGTCAATTATCAGATAATCCGACGCTTTTATGCCCCAGAAAAATTCGAATCCCGGAAAAAATATCCCAGGGAAAAAATATCCCAGGGAAAAAATATCCTAGGGAAAAAATATCCCACACATTCAAAACGTGTTAAAACACGCTCAATTTAATTGTTTTTAAATTTAATTATTTTTTTCTTTTTCTATTTTTTCAGGGGCTCTAATTTTCCTATGGTCTATCAAATTGGGTGGGTTTTAACACGTTTTGGGTGTGTGGGCTATTTTTTCCGGGGATATTTTTTCCGCCTACCGAAAAATTCGGTAATTGTCTCCACTG